ACTTGCCAGGGAAGTACTTATTCCACTGAGCCATCTCCCCAGCCCAAGATCATAGTTTCAATTCTCAATAATGCAAAAGTAAACAGTAGTAAACTAATTAAAAGCAAGCCAACAAAAAACATACAAAGGCATTGCAATTCAATTTTAAAAAGGGCAAAGGAGGGGCTGAGGAGATAGTTCACAGTCTAAGTCTGCCTAGGCAAGCACAAGGATGGGAGTTTGATCCCCAGTACTGTAAGCGCAGGCCCAAAACCTGGGTGGTGGCACATGCCTGTAATCCAAGCGCTGGGGAGGCTGAGACAGTATGATCACCAGGAGTTTGAGACCAGACTGGGCTTCATAGTGAATTTAAGGCCAGCCTGAATTAATAATGAGAGCCTATCTCAAGAAAATAAAAAGGCATTTACCTTCAGCAGCAAGATTGGAGGGAAGGTTCCTGTTCTGACCTGGACACATCAGGCTGTGGTCAGCGTGGGTCTATTAAAGGCAGCAACTCTCCGCAGTGGGAATTCAGCTTCAGGCAGGCCAAGTGGTCCGAGCGTGTGGGCCCAATGTTCAGGATGGCGATCGGTATCTTCTTGTCCCGGGCAGTAAGGATGAACCTGTAACCAGAGTACACCTGCCCGGACAGAATACTCGAATGAGAGCTCTCTAGATCCCCAAGGGAGGGCCCCTACCTGAAGCCCCTCACCTTACAAAGGAGCAATAACCACCCCCTGTCCGATACCTGCAAGGATGATCCCACTACTAACAGGGCGTCGGCTTCTTTCACGCGATTGTGCACAAAATCAACCTTGGCAGGGTCCACCGTGTCCCCAAAGAAGACGACATCTGGTTTGAGAGGTCCTCCGCATCGAAGACAGGGCGGGACCTGAAAACTCCGTACCTGTTCGTCCGAGAGAAAGACATCGCCATCGGGAGCCAGGCCCTGGGCCTCCGCGCCCCAGGTGGGGTTCAGGACTTGGAAGCGCTCCTGCAGTGCCCCCCGCGGGGTCTGCGCGCCGCAGTCCAAGCAGAGGACCCTGAAAACCAAGACAGCCCCGCTGAGTACTGTGTCCTCCCTCACAAGGGGCACAGCTGCCGGGGGCGTTGTCCCCAACCATAGGCAGCCCCAAGAGCATTTCTTTTCTTGAAAAAATTCCCCCCTCCCATTTTCGACATCTGTTTCTCTCTTTCCTCCTTTCTACCAGCATTCTAAAGCAAGGAGGTCCTTCTGTTTTCTGGCTACACATTCTGCTTAGCTTTCAGATAACTTTTCTTTTCTTTTCTTTTTTCTTTTTTGGCAGAACCAGGGATTGAACTCAAGCTCTTGGAGTTGCCAGGCAAGTGCTTAATCTACTGAGTTATCTCCCCAGCCCAACTTTTCAAATTATGTTACTGGGGATAGAACTCAAGCCCTTCACACTGAGTTATATACATCCCAGAACTTATTTAAAATATTTGGAAGGGGAGCTGGTGAGATGGTTCAGTGGTCTAAAGCACCTACTTGGAACAAGCTTAGCAAAGCATCAGTGACCGCGGTTCAATCCCCCAGCACCACATGCCAGCCAGGCCCCCCCCCCCATGGGCTGAGCTGGCCACACACACACACACACACACACACAC